CTACATTGTGGGAACCAATTTTCAGAAAAAAGCAGCCTCGTGGGGACCAGGTATGAATGCTAGATTTGGGTGGGGGGTTAGGCTTAGGACCATGAGTTTAGGTTAGTTTTAGAGTCGGGTAGGTACCTGTGAGGTTAGTTTTAGGGTAAATGGTCAGGGTTAGGATATAAAACTACCAAAAACTAAATGGAAATCAATCCACAGTCCCCAGGGGGATATAAAAACAACCCTGTATGTGTGTGTGTACACGTGTACATGTTTTTGTTACCTGGTGGGGACAATTTTTGACTATTTTCCCAGTACACACAACATTGTGAGGACCCACTGTTCCTTATACGCACAAAAGTCATCGGGGGAACGCCGGTGGTGGGTCGGGGGTCAGGGTTAGGACTAAAGTGTGAATTAAGTTTAGGTTAGGTTAAGGGTTAGGCATGTACTGGGGTGGTTAGGTTTAGGGCAGGGGTGCCCAACCAGTCGCTCGTGGGCGACTGGTCGCCTGCCAGCTGGTTCCCAGGTGCCCGCGAAGCGCAACTTGCTCTAACAGCTGTCGTCAGCTGTTAGAGCAAGGTTTGCGCTCCGGTCGGGAGCTCCCTGAGCTTCATTCTAACTCCGGCAGAAGTGGTGGGGGTGGGAGGAGGAGAGCGGAGGGAACCGTTCAGGAATGTAAACTCCTCCCGCCTCCCACCTCCATCGCTTCTACCGGAGTTAGAATGAAGCTCAGAGGAAGGTAGTCTCGTGAGTTTTGGGTGCTGTGAGACAGCGCTCCGAACATGACCTTGCGAGACTTTAGGGTCACGTGTTTAAAACATGATCTTGAGGTGGAAAATAATGAACGACAAACGAGCTATCAAGCAAACAAAAAGTTCTTATAATATTCACCTGGAGTGGGAAGAGGACTCATATAATTTGAGCGCTGCCTTTTCCAAAAAGGATAACGTGGAACGGCATTTCAAAACAATGCACAAACGCAGATTTCCTCCTAAAACCGCACAGCATCGATTTTCACACCAGAGGTAAGGCTAATGTAGCCCATCCTGCCTCAACACAAAAAAGGTCTTTCAGCGATGACGAAGTTATGAAAGAAGCGTTTGATGCTGCAGACATGTTTTCCGCGATTTTAAAAATAAAAGTGAGATTGTGGCAGCTATATAAAGACGTGCAGTGTCCAGGATGGTTGACATTGTGTCCAAATTCGTGTCCGTGTTTCTGCTGTACTGCTCTGGCGTTGAAAAGGAGGTGTTGACTCTGCAAAATGACACTGGGATCAAATCCAGAGCAACAAGTTGCATGGATGGAGAGTTCTGCAGTCTGCTGTCAGAGGAAACGTATCCTAACATCAGAAGAGGTGCTTTGAACTTGACAGAACTTTTTGGATCTACATGTGTGAGTCTGCTTTCTCTCACATGAAAATCATCAAATCGAAGAACAGATCCACAATAACTGATGATCATCTGTTGACCTGCCTGCACCTCAACCACCTCATACTGCCCGCTCTGGTTCCTCCTTGCAGTGTCAGAAGTCCCAATAAGGTAGAGACATTTATTTGTATATAGCCTGCATAAAAATGTTTTCTCCTCTAGATTTGTCACGTGTCTGTATGTTGTTTTTTTTTATATTTTTTATGTTATTTGTTTTATTACATCTTAGACCAGACTGACTGGCACCTTTGTATTTGTTATTTATTTATTTTGCAGTTTGGATGTGCCCTTGTTTTATGTACCTAACGTGTGTGTGTGTGTGTGTGTGTG